ACCTACAGGGTATTCAGAATTACCCCAATAAAGATGAAACGTGTCAGCACAGGCCTGGAATTCAGCCATGTCTCCTGCCTGTCATACTCTGACCCACACTCTTGCCTCGTCCACTCTTGAATCTTGGGAATTTTTTTTTTGTCTTTTTAGTTCTTTGTGTCATTCTATATATCAATTTAAATGAGCTTCTAACCTACAGCAGACTCATCAGGCATTTATACAACTTGTGACACAATATCTCCAATATCTCGAAGACATACCTGGCATCACACATAGTTATTACAATACCACTGACTGTGCTATACTTTGCATCCCAATGCTTCATCTGTAACTGCCAGTTTTTACTTCCTAAACCCTTTAATTTTTTCACCCAGGTTCCCAACTCCCCTCCCTCCTGGGAACTACCAGTCTGTTCACCCTTTCTATGAGTCTGTTTCTAATTCTGCTTGTTTCTGTATTTTTGTTCTTTTTTTTAATTTATTTTTAGAGAAAAGGAAATGGGGAGAGAGAGAGAGATGTGTGGTTGCCTCCCGAGTGCCCCCAACTTGGGACCTGGCCTGCAACTCAGGAATCTGCCTTAACCAGGAGTCAAACTGCTGGTTAATGACCTATTTTCCCTAACCAGGAGTGACCTTTTGGTTCACAGGCTACCACTCAATCCACTGAGCCACATCAGCCAGTGATATATATTTGTTCTTTAGATTCCACATATAAGTGAGATCATATTGTACTTGGGTTTCACTGTCAGACTTATTTCACTCAGCATAAAACTCTCTGGGTCCATCCACATTATCACAAATGTAAACATTTCAATTTTTATTGACTGAGCAAAGAAGGTGGGTTAATAGTCAAATCTGTGATTTGGACAAAAAGTCTGCTAATTTTCTTCATAAAATAAAAGTCACATCAATAACTTTATTGAATTTTATGTGTTCAGTATTTTGGTCATCTCCTGTGTGGTACAGAATGGAATGTTTTTGGTTAAAATCTTGATTTGATTTCAATCATCTTCAACTGGTCTACCTAATTGTGGGTATACTTTTAGTGAGAAATCTCCATCACAAAATTTCACAAATATCATTTGGGACATTTCATCAATCATATCACCTTTTCCATGTCCTGCACAATTTTTTTTGCATTTTCATTGCATTATTATTATTCTTAAAATAATAAGGCCTACTAAACTGAAAATGTGCATCTTCTTCAATATTTAACATAAAAACAGATACATAAAACTGACCAATTTGGGTTATTTCAAGATGCACACTGATATGGAAGCTATCACAATACAACCTAACAATTTTTTTAAATGAAGTTCAAGATTAATAAACATTATTAAAGACATATTACAGCAAAAACTAAATGAATTTTTTGTCAACCCAATATATTAATAACTAGATGACTATGTGTGTTTATTTCTAAAGAAAGTGAGCTAAGACAACTGGGACTTGCTGCACAAGACACAAAAAATTCAATAAAAGGAACAAAAACCCTGAAAGTGTTGGCTCCAGGCTTGCTTAATCCCATCCTTCATGCACCAGGGATATGTGCTGCCAGTCCTGCACACGGATCCATGCAGTATGTGACTTCATGTCTGGGCGATACCCGAATAGTTTTGACAAGTTGACAACATTCCTATGGGTCATGTGCATACACAATAAAGATGAGAATGAGGGAGGTGATGACGCTTCTAAAATTTACTTCTGATGAACCAGGGATGAACCTGTCTCTTACATTATTGATGAGAATCACATCACATGTCCACAGAGGCACAGATTTGAATGGTGATAGAAAGATAGAACCACCTTGGCCAAACAGTTTCATAGAAAGTTAGGTCCACCAGCCCCCAGTTTTGCGAGGTTTTTAAATGATTTATTCACTCTGTCATCACTAGATGAAGAAAAATAATGCTCTATATATCAATTATATTATAATTTATTTTCAGTCATTTTTATATTAGTGATTGGCATCAAGGTATTTGATAACAAAATCTGTACTTTTAACATAATTACTCCCCAATCTCACCTACATCTTCACCTAAGCAGATCTAGTCATGACTGAACTTGTTCTGTGCCCCCAATATTTGATCTTGATTTTACCACAAAGTCTACAGAATAAAAACAAAAATGAGGCAGTGAGGTTGCCGTGCATTCAGCACCAAACTCCACTGAAAGGACATGACCCAGGAGCACTGTCTGTGTCCCTGTAGATTTCACATTTCTCTCCCCCAGGGATCCACACAGACGTTCTATCACCTCCAACATGGGGTCCACGTGCTCCAGGGTCTCACTCTGTTCTCAGTTCATACTCTGACTGCTTTGTAGGTGAAATGGTATCAGAATGAGCTTCCCGTATTCTGAACACAAACCTCCTCTGGGCATGACAGTTAAATTCTTTTGGTCAGTTCATTAGTGGTGACTTTTGAAGACATCTCTCATTTTAAATCCCTCTCCACTTATGACAATTTACTCTTGTAGGTTATGGGCCCATCTGATGAAGCAGTTGGATACTTGGAGAGAGCACAGGACCAAATGCAGCATGTAATTTCTTTATTTTTCATATTACTATTTGTTCCCTTCACCAGAGGCCTTCTTTTTCAATGCTTTTACAGAAAGACTCCCCAGTACTTGGGTTGAGGAGGGAACCAAGAAGAGACAAAGGGGAGTTCCTCTCACTGCTGCCTTCTATCCACAGGTGTCCATGCCCAGGTTCAGGTGGAGCAGTTGGTGACTGAGGTGAGGTAGCTTGTGTCCCCAGTGAAAGTCTCCTGCAAGGTTCTGGATACACTTTTATCAACTTCTGTCTACACTGGATGTGACAAATCTCTGTACAAGGGCTTGAGTAGATGGGCCAAATTGACATAGAAGTTATTGAAACAAAGAATACACAGAATTTCAACAACAGAATTACCATGATGTCAGGGAAGTCTACAAGTACAAACTACATAGAAATTAACATGGCTGTGTATTACTGTGTGAGGTACATCATATGGCAATTCCTTTCCTGTATGCATCACAAAATCTGAGGAATAGGACAGCTGGACTGCGCTGAGGAGATTACAGGGTTATGGGCTTTCTGACTTCCATACAAACAATCAGGATCTGACCCAGGCCGGTAGCTGTCATCGACACAGAACACATTCAGGGAAATATTTTAGGAGACCAGATGCACTGCAAGGAAGAGGCAAGGAAGATGCTCCTAAAAGTACCCCTGTTGCTTGTTGTGATTTTGCATGGGGAAAATTGAGAACCTCTTTGTCCTCTAGATGAGGCAGTTCATGGAGGTGTCACCTTTGAGGACTTGGACCACAGTGTCTTTCAGTCAGTTCGAAGTCTTCAGTTCCTTTATTTCTGAACAATGGAACTGTTCTTGGGGAAATGTAAATACATGGAAGTTAAGGATGTTATTCTATGTCCTTGCCTCAAACCAATCATCACAGATATGATATTTTGGAAGCAGAGTCAAAGGGTAGACAGTAGTTCCGGGGCCAGCATCATCGATATCATCAAAGCATTCTTTAAGTACTCACTCTGGGTGGTATCTTAAGAAGCCTACACACCTGAGACAGCAGCCATGTGAGTGTCCTGGTCCTGGGACAGTATGGATGTCATCACACAGCAGGGAGGTGCGTAAAGACACTCGACAATGGGACACCCATAATCAGCCAGTATTATATTGTGATGACAAATGAACCAATCACAAACTTCACACTGCTATCTGCACACATTTATTCTTATAGATTCTGGAGGTCAGAGCAAATGTGTCTGTGGAAATGAGGGTCATTCACCATCCATGGTAATTCATCCTATTCCCAGATTTAATTATTCCATGTTGCAAATTGGTATTTTAATTGTAGAAGGTTCAAGTTCATTGACTGCCCCTTATGTGTGGTCATGGTGAGAGGCTCCCGTGGGTCACATTTAGACATGAATAGGGACTGTACGAGAATAAGGATGTTTCTTATGAAATTAACTCTCAAAGAACCAGGGGCCATACCACCCTGTCTCTCTTACTGCCTGACTACAGCTATGTCACACATCCACGTGGAAGCAGATCCTGGTGGAAAGTGACTGGGTGCAGTTCCAAGTTGAACACTGCAGTTTAATATACAGTTATAGCCATCAGCCCCAGTAATGAGAGGCCATTTGAATGATTTATGCAGTCTGTAGTAAATTGACAAAAGTACATAATGTTCTTCATATCAATTGTGATTTCATTTATATCCTATTCGCAATTTGCATCAAGGTTTTCCATAATCAACTTTTTAAAAATATTTCAATATATTTACTCCCTAATATCTACCTGCACCTTAAACAAAGCAGACCTAGTCATTACTGAGCATTTTCCTGTGTCTGGATTGTTTGAACCTAGTTTAACCACAGAGTCTAGGGAACAAAAACAAAAATGAGGCAGTGAGTCTGATGTACACTCAGTGTCAAATTCCAATGAGGGAATATGGCTCAGGAGCACTGTCTGCTTCTCTGTAGAGTCCACACTTCTGTCTACCAATCATCCACACACATACTCCACCTCCTCCAACTCTGGGTTTATAAACTCTAGAGTCACACTCTGTTTCTAGTCCAAAATCTGATTACTTTGTAGAGGAAATAGGTTCAGATGTAAGTTCCCATCATCTGTTCTTGAATCTCCTGCACGATGGTTTCTCCTTTTGGTCATGAGATTTCAATTTTCTTGGTGAGTTACTATTGACTTTCAAAATCATTGCTCATTTTAAATCCATCTAGTTTATGACAATTTACTTTTCTAGGCTATGTAACCATCTTCTGGAGTGATTGAGGTAGTTGAATCATTACAGGCTCAGTTGTGGGGAGTGTTTCTTGACAAACATGAGACTGAGACTTGTAACACTCGGGGACCATGTCCTTCATGTCACCGTCCAACCACAGAGCTCCCTTTATAGGAGGAGGACATGCAAATAAGGTCCCTGTACTCATGAAAAGCAGCCCAAGTCCAACCCTGCAGTTGTGGGACAGGACACAGCCTATGATTCCTAGGTGTTCCCAGTTTCTCATCAGGACAGAAGGCAGCCCACAAACCATGAAGTTTGGGTTCAGCTGGCTTTTCCTTGTTGCAATTTTAAAAGGTAATTCATGGAGAACAAGAGGCACTGCGTGTGTGAGTGGATATGACTGAGAGAAACAGTGACAAATAACAATTTACTGACCAGGATGTATTTGTCTTTGCAGGTGTCCAATGTGAGGTGCAGCTGGTGGAGTCTGGAGGAGGCTTGGTGAAGCCTGGGGGGTCTCTGAGACTCTCCTGTGCAGCCTCTGGATTCACTTTCAGTAGCTACTATATGAACTGGGTCCGCCAGGCTCCAGGGAAAGGCCTGGAGTGGGTTTCAAGAATTAGTGATACTGGTGGTAGCACATACTATGCCAACTCTGTGAAGGGCCGATTCACCATCTCCAGAGACAACGCCAAGAATGAGCTCTACTTGCAAATGAGCAACCTGAGAACCGAGGATACAGCTGTATATTACTGTGCAACAGACACAGTGATAGAAAATCAGTGTGAGCCCAGACAAAAACCTCCCTGAAGGAGACAAGAGTGCTGAGCTACAGAGGAAACTCAGGACACCAGGTGGCGCTCAGGGTACACTGAGTGCAGGCATCAGCTTGAGAGCTGCTACAGACGCAGGTTAAAGCTGGTTTCCTGACAGGTGAGAAGTTAATTCTCCACACAGCAGTGTCCTTCTGGGAACCCACTCTCTTCATGTTTCTGTGCTGATCTCTGAAGTATCTGAGCTACAGAGAATTGTCGTCACAAGAGGAAAATATTCTTCCATGTTCCAAATCAGAGAGTCATATACATTTACTCACCTCTATCCTAATGAGTCATCAGATCTTCTTTTTTTAGTTTATTTTATTATATATTTATTTATTTATTTATTTATTTATTTATTAAATACATTTGTCTCTGCCTCCCCCCCACCACTTTCCCTTGTCCCCTCCCTTGTTCCTTCCCTCAGCTTTTCCCCTTTGGTTTTGTCCATGAGTCCTTGCTATATGTTCCTTGACTTCTGACTTACATACGCTGAATTTAAGAAGAGGTTCTGAGGGACCCAACAGTGTTGCAGTCTCATCTAGCTCAGAGTCCAAGCCAGCCGACAGAAAAACCTAGGCCAGCAGGACAGCAGACAACAGAGGCATATATACCCAATGCCAGAGGACAAAGACCACGGTGGTGATGGTCATTGACTCCATATCCATAACACCAATAACAGATGATATCATGTGGAGATAGAGGGGCCCGTTATCATTCCTACGTATGGATGTCTAGGGCGATGGGCACACAGAGGGACTATAGAGTGTTTGTCACTTCATTGAGGAGCCTGTCAAGAGCAGGACAGACTTTTCTGCTGGTCAGGAATGAGTGGATCATGTAAGGAAAGCAGTCCAGTTCAAGTTTTTATTGTTCATCTGTGTCAAGGTTGGGGAGTGAACTGCTCAGAGAAGGGGTTTGTGTGATTTCAATCCCCCAATCACATGCCTAAGGCGAATTCCTACTTTCACTTCAGATGTCCCATGTGTGTGCAGCATGAAAGAGAAAGGTAAATCTTAACATGCCAGGATCACACATAAAACCTATAGCCTGGCTCCTTATTCCATCGAACAACTAGGAGACATGGGTAGAACATGGACTTACCAGCTATGATGGGTAGAAAACAGTTGTAGTCCCTAGAAATTGAGAATAATGGTTATATGTATGTAATAAGGGGAAAATAATGATAAATAATAAGGACATATTAGTTCAGAGTCTAAGAACCTCTCCACTGTACAACATCATGAGCTAGTTCCATAGGACTTGGGTTCCCATTCTACTCCCAGAAGTGAGAAGCTTCCACTAGATTACAGGGATCCACAGCTTGGGGAGTTCTATTTAAGTAGCCTTTTGCTGGGTGTAGTCATGATTCAATTCATTTGTTGTTGTTATGAGCTGGCTTCTTTGTCATTAAAAATCTCACATATTAAAACTGAGGCCCATGTGGTGGAGTTTGAATGTGGGGCCTTGGGATTAGGTTCCATCCTAGGATGGAGCTTCCATTAACAGGATTAGGACATTAATAGCAGAGGATTGAGGATGCTCCCTTGTTCCATTCACCCTTTCAGATTACAGACAACCAACAGCCAGCTACTAAACACATTTTTCCCAGATATCAAATATGCTGGCACCTATTCTTGGATTTATCACCTTCAGATCTGTGAGAAATAAATCTCTGCTGTTAGCCAATGACCCAGTGCACAGTAGTTTGTTACAGCGTCTAGAACTGATTAGCATTGTAATGTAACATGACCATGAAGGTTGACTCCCTGGCAATTTGCTTCAATTAGTTTTGTAGTGTACAGCATGATTTTCTTTCCAGTGTTGTTCAAGGGCAGTTTTTCTTCCACAGAAATATTTTCTTGGTTGAATGCCACATGATTCTCTTTAGAACATGTAGCAGGGAGGCAGGGAGACATGACTATATTCCATAAACCCTTTTGTTATTTACCACATCATCATGGAACCAGTTCCATGTTTCACCAGAGGGAATATCCACAAACACATAGTCCTCCAAGTCACCGCATCACAGGGGTGTGGCTGGTGTGCTTTTATAAGCACAGGCATTAACACCACTTGGGAGAGGCTTTGGCCAAAGTGGTGTTTGGGCATACTTAGGTTTTATCATTATAATTAAGGATGTAATTTTTTTAAACTTCCCAGAGCTTGTATATAATAATTACAGTGCAACATTTAGATCATAGTAACATCTTACCGAATAATTATTTTTGTGTTGTATGCATTGTAGTCACTTGTCTTTAAGCCTTTGGGGAAGGGGGAAAGAGGCTGACCTTAGAAGGTGTCCAGGAAAGTTGAAAAGCTCTACATATGTTTGTTCCTTCTTCCCAGAGTCTTTCTTGAGGTTAATAGACTCTCAGTGTGCAGATGAAATCACAAACAGCAGCCCTTGAAGTACCAATAACCCTCAGCCCGGGGAGGTTGGCATTGGGGATGGACTTATCTGTGTGTTGACACAAGAACAAGGACTCACAGGGAATTTATTCTGATCTGAATAGTCTGAACAACTGTGCGCGTGGAATATCACTGTAAATTTAACTGCGTTAAACTGACCAATCATAGAAATGAACAACAACAATAACTACAATACACAGACTTACCAGCATCTTATAAAAATTTCCACTATTACTACAAGGTTGCTTGTTCCTCTGAGTTGAGTGGGGGTGCTCATCTGTGGACTTCATGTCTCTGTATATAAGGGGAATAGCACAGGCCAATGGGGCATTCCACGTGCTGATATACCAAGCCCTGCCTCTGTCCCTGCACTTTTGGGAGAGGTGTCCTAGCACTCCTGTCTCTGCAGTTGACATTCACTGCTGCAATTAACACATGAATAGGAAGCAATGTGAAGTTTGGTCTAAGATGAGCACTTGATCTGATGCTTTGAAATTGTAACATTAAAAAGAATGCTACAAATTGACTTTGTTTGTGTTCCTCTCCTACTGAGAATATCTTGTCTGTAGATGTGCGATGTGAGATGCAACAGTGGAGTCTAGAGGCACCTGAGAGAGTCTGGGTGTCTCTGAGACTCTCCTGTTAAGGCTCCGGATTCATATTCAGTGCCTATTGTATAACCTCAATCCTCCAGCCTCCAGGAAAGAGGCTGGAGTGGATAGGTGTTATAAGAAACAAAATGAACTGTCACAAAAGAATATGCTGAATCAGTGACAGACAGTTTCACCATCTCAGGAGATGATTCCAATAACACAGTTTATCTACAAATGAGAGCCAGGGACACAGTCCTGTATTTCTGCATGAGAGAGAAAAAGAGGGGAAGTCAGAGGGAGCCCATATACAAACTTCTTTGCAGGAGGAGCTGCAAGCAACAGGGGGTTCCCAGGTCCCTTGGATTCTGTAGAAGCAGGACACATGGAGTTAAAGCTAGGTTTCACCTCTAACACAGGATATATCTCTCCACCTGGCACTGAACATATAAACACCTAAGAAAGCAATCACCATGATGAATCTGAAGTGGATGCATCTACTCTATCTAACTTACTAGGCAGATTCATATTAACTCTGACTTGAAAACTTTCCCTAAATAGATTTGTTGTGACAGTTTTTGTTGTTGTTGTTGTTGTTGTTGTTGTTTTATTTTGACTGGGTCACAACATGCCCAAAGTTCTGGATGAAAGTTTTTTCTACATTTTCCCTGTTTGCTAACAGGTAATTATTGCCTCCAATCTGGTGGCTCATAAAGACTGATTTCACCTATGTGACTGTGCTTATTCTATTCCACTGAGGGACTGACTGAAACAAACAGTGAAAGAGGGAAAATTAAGCCCTTCCCACCTGTGTTCTGGCTTCTGGAGCTGGGATGGAGGTCTTCTGTCCTCGACACCTTTGTCCTCAGCACATAGACCAGGATTAGTTATCAAAGCAGCTCTCCTGTGTCTGCAGCTTACAACCTCAGCTCTTGGGACTTCAGGACATCTCATGGTCATAATACGAGTGCCAATTCCTTATAAATGTAAATGCAAGTATGCATATTTAAGATCAGCTTCCCTGGAGAATGGAATCCAACTGGATCCTAAGTCCCTGCTAGGGGACAACCATTAGTGTGATTACAGAAAGGGAGGATCCCCACAGAAGCCAGGTCACAAACATCTGCTGTGACCACTAGTTACCAAGTAGATAGTAACAGAAAACCTATCTTTCATGTTTCTGCTGTGGGGACTAGGTAATAGTGACAAGGTGTGGCAGAGGGTGGGGCTGAACATGAAACCAGCTGGGAAGTCACTGAGAGCCCACACAAGAACCTCCCTGAGGGAGATAGGATGGCTGGGTTGCAGTGGCTTCTCAGGGCACAGTGGTCGGGGGGGCCCTCAGAGAATAACATGGAGCTCAGGATACCAAGATTTTCTCAGGACACCAAGGGGCATCAATGTCAGTAAGTGAAAGGGCTCAGTTAAGGAGGTGGTTCCTAGAGGGTTTGCAGAAGGACTTCCTTTTGGGGTCAATGATTTATTCACCTTTTATTGTCCCCATGGAGCTATTCTTGTTTTCTTTAATGTGCCTCTAATTTCTTACACTCTCTGTGCTGCAAAATAGAAGAAAGTAACTGGGTTTGCAGCTATGGTTGCTTTCTCATCAGGGGCCTTATCTTCTCAGTCCTGAGTTAGACGACCTGCACTGAAACCGTTTTCAAATGTGTGGGTTTCACATTTACTCAGTGAGATGTCAAGTGTGAAGACAGGGGCTACTCTGGAGTTTTATTGTGACCTTAGTTGTTAACACACACACATTTAGGCATCAGTTGTCAGGTTTAGCAGCCATTAGCCCTGATTCCTCATCCAGCAGATAACTCTCTTAGTGGGAAATTGTGAAGACACTATTGAGGATGATGTGGGGAGAAGGCTTGCATGTGTTGAGAGTGTGGGATACGTGGGCCACATGATAGTCAGTTTATTGCTCTACTTGACTGTCAGTGGGTGCCTGCATATTGGTTCACACATTATCCTGTCGTTTCTGTAAAGATATTTTCCATCAGTGTCCTGGGTGGGGCAGGAAGTGTTGCCCTCCCTAGTGTTGGGTGGACCCTGCCTGACCATTGCTGGACTTCAGTGGAGCAGTGTCACAATTCTGCCTTATGGCCTTGGAATGTGAACATCCACCTGAGTTTTGGTCTTACCTCCAGCACCCTGGGCATATTAGCTACTCTGGCCTCCAAGGCCTGAGTGCTTGAACTGGAACTAACCTTGACATTCCTCTGTGACATTCACATCTCCTTTTCTCCTCAAAGTACCCTTTCTGAACATCCTTTCTGTTACAATGTCTTATTTCCTCAGAGCCACAGTGCAGGGGAAGGATGTGTGCTCTTGTCCCAGGAACACCAGGATGATACAAGTGTGACATGAGGGGGACCCTGTCACTGTCAGACACAGGTACCCTGCAGCCCTGCCCCCATTACACATACTGTGCCCACACCTCCCCCTCCCTCCTTATCCTGCAGTTTCCAGGATGGACAAGGGGCCATGACAAAGGGCCACGAGCATGCTATACAATATATCACTGTTTGTCATAACTCAGCACAGCCTCTGGTCACGGGTGCTTCCTGTCCATTTCATGTGATCACCTATTAACTCCTTTCACCTGAGTTTGTTGTCCACCTTCCATATACTCTTCCCCAAAATTCCAGATCAGAAAAAACACCAAAAACACCAGTTTACATGCAACTGCATTCTTGTGAAAGCCATACAGATGGGATAGGAAACTCAATAAGCAAGATGTGCTCCATCCTCACCAGAAAATAGCACTCTCCCTCTTAAAGAAGAGAAATTAAACAGATGCAAGAATACGGATGAGCCTTGGAGACACAATGACCTTCCCAATACGCAACTCTCAGAATCACCATGGCTGTGTGCTTCCACATCTGTGAGAACCTGGAGAGATCAAGGGCATGGAGACAGAGCACAGGAATAGGTGGCTGGGGCAGGGATATGTTATGGGGAGTTATTATTTAATAGGCACTGACTCATTTTGGAAAAGTGGGCATTTCTGGATTTTGATGGTGATGACACTTGTGCCATGTTGCAAATGTACTTAACACATTCTGTCCATTTAAAATTGATTAGCACAGTGAATGTTAGTGTGTGTTTTACCACAAATGCCACACCATCACTAATGAGATTATTGGGTGTGTTTTTCAGGGGAGGTGATACCTCCTGACACTACAGGGCTGGAGTGGAGTCAGGACTGCAGACAGGGTGCCAGTGTGAAAGGTCGTTCAGAGGAGCTCACTTTGTGGCAAGAAGGTCTCATGGGGTGTGACTGTCTCATGGATGTTTCCAGGGAAATGGAAACTGGTAGGGGTGGAACCTGGTCCAGGAATTGGAGCCACAGAGTCCCTGGGCTGAGAGTAGTGCATGAGGTGGATGTGTGCAGACAACAATAGGTAAGTCACATCTTCAGATGAAGCAGGACATTACAAGGACTTGGAGTCTCTTCAAGGGAGATAAGATGTTGGTGACATATCTTTAGGGCCCAGGATTATATGTCTCATAGTGTTGACCAGGATGATGAGTGGGGACACACAGCTGCCAATGACACTCAAGACACACAGGGCTGTGTAGGGCCCTCACTTTTTGAGAGACACTTTGTCCCCATAGATTTTCACTTTGCAGCATCCTTCATGCAGTTAATCCATATATCTCTCTTCTCTCACATGGCATGGGAATGAGAAATATGGCAAGATCTTCAACAGGTTTCACTTATCTGGGTATCACAGTATTTAAATCTCCTGAAACCTGGGCCACAGAAGCACCCATGTGCTGCCCGGAAATGTAACTAGGAAGCGTTACAAGGACAGGTGAGGGAAGGAAGGATATGTCAAATCTGAGGGCCCTCTTGGGCAGAACAGGACACGTATCACTGGGCTCACCAGGGCTACAGAGAGAACTCAGTTCTCCTCGACATTGGAGGTGAGTGCAGGAGAAATTTACAGAGAACAGGTGTCCCTTCCTGAACAGGTGTGCTGCTCACAGAAGAAATTGTTCTCACTGTTTCTCTCCCTCACCATCTACTTTGCTTTAATTTTTGCTGAACACAGTAATCTTCACAGAGGTCCCCCAGCACCTGCAGGGTAGTGGTATTATCTCTGTCACAGATGCCAATTTAACTCCATGTAGCTCACAGAAACTTCATTCTCAACAGAGAACCATATTGTCGACAAAGGGACAATCTCCTGAAACATATGTTACCTTCAAAACTTTCCCATCTGCTCTGTGGATGTCCTTGGTCTATCAGATGTGCCCCAGACCTCACAGTTCACTCTTAAATAATGGGGACTATAGTGGGAATTTTCTGTGTATGGAGGGTGTGTGAGGCTCAGAAAAGCAAACCTGGTTTTAACCACTTACTAGGCTATTAAATCACATCATATATTTCATCTTGGTTTAGTAATTTAATGATAAGTACATATAGTCTGCTCTTTGGCTTCCCTCAATCTGTTACCTTGGCCCATCACAAGCTCCCAGTCCCCTTCCCAGGACATCAGCCTCAAGATCTGCTTCCCCCGAGTCTCTGGTGACTGCCAGAATTGCAGTTTTTAAACTGAACCTCTATGAACAGGAAGCAGGACCTATTACCTATACCCATCTCAGAACACCTGCTGGACCAGAGCCACGGCCTATGTGTCACTGGGAGAAGGAGAATGCAGAGTCTCAGTGTCCCATGTGGTCTAGGAACCTAGTCACCTTCCTGAGCAGCTCACCTGCAGGAAGGAACTGCACTGTCCTGTGGAGAGAGAGATGAAGTGAAGATCACAGCATGTGTAACACCTATCTGAGCTACAGGGACTGGGATGGACTCTGGGCAGCAGGTCATAACCAATGTGGCATGTTCCCTGGAGCTGGACTGAGACAGAGGCTGCACCTGCACTGTCACCTACATGACCAGGTTTCTGAGTCAAGTTAGTAGAAAGACTTTATTTTGTAATAATTTTTACATACAGTTTTATTTTATATGAAATTATGTATATCCAGTCTGTAAATGATGACTCTACATGTGTTTATTTGGACTTGAGAAGATGTTTGTGCTTAGTATTTATCTGTTTTAATATCTGCATCGACTTGAATTATCTATGAGATTAAAATAGTGTAATTCACTCATCTTGATCAGCATTAATTTTAAATGTAGAAAAATGAGGTGTCCTTTAACTGATTCCAAGGTGCCTCATAACATAACTGTCTCCAAAGCCTGATTAACATCATTGAGTCTGAGAGAAAAAAATGAGCTCAGGACCCAGGACATGGGGCAGTGACCTCATGTCCTCCCCACTTATGATAACAGAGTCCCCCACATGCAAATTTATTTCCCAGCTCCAAGATAAATCGTCCCCTGAGGCGTGGGTGCTCACAGATCTGTTCTGACACAGGGTTGAGTTCTCTGAGGAAGGCATAGCTGCACTCTAGAAGATGAGACTGCTGGGTCTCCTCCTGTGCCTGGTGACAGCCCCCCAGGGTGAGTGTCTCAGATGTCACGTATGTGTGTATGGGGTATTGATGATTGCACATGTCTGACAGGTACTGATGCCCCTTGTCTCCAGGTGTCCTGCGCCAGATGCAGCTGCAGGAATGGGGCCCAGGAATAGCAAAGCCCTCTCAGACCCTCTCCCTCACCTGCACTGTTGGTGGATTCTCTTTAATTAGCTCTGGTATGCACTGGACCCACCAGACTCCTGAGAAGGAGCTTGAATGAGTAAGTGCTATATGGAGTGGTGGAATCATGGGCTGCAGCCCAACATTTAAATCCTGATTCAGCATGGCCAGGGACACCTCCAAGAGCAAAACTTATTTAACACTGAGCAGCCTAAGAGCAGAGGACATAGTCATGTATTACTGTGCCAGATACCCTGCCATGGGAAATTAGTGTGAATCCAGACACAAACCTCCATGTGGAAGACAGGAGGTTGAATCTGCAGGGAGTGCTCAGGACCCTGGGGGTAGTCTCATCTCACCAATCACAGAGAACTGCCCTGTTGGTATTGTGGGCCTCATGGGGATGGAAGAGAGTTCCTCTTGGGAGCTGGGATTACCTCTCAGAGCTCTCCACTGCATCCAGGGACACTCTCTTATTTTCTGTGAATTTGATTTCTGAGGTTTTTCACTGCAGAGAATAAATAAGGGAGTAAACAATTTTGCAGATGAAATATCACCAAAACCTCTTCTTCATCAAATCCTTACTGTTTTCTTTCTTTCTAACAAAGTGCATCACACTGTCTTATGAAATTATACTTACAATATGACCAATAATGTTTGATCCAGAAGACCAAAATCTGTGTTCATACTAAAACATAAGCACACATTTTTAGTCCCTTCCTTTGTGCTTGTAGAAGGACAAACACCACAAAAGCCTCTCTACTTTAAAAATAAGCAAACTAGGGAGCATGCATGAATGGAATCTATTCAGCAATGAAAATAATAATCAGCTGATACAAAGTTCAATGCAGATAGGTGTCAGTGATCACAGCGTGGACTGTGCCATGCTCAGAGACTACAAGGTGGTGTGCCCTTGTGTTCACAGGGCCAACCTAGAAGGGAAGTGGAAGGCTTGGTTTCTGTCCCTATCTCACTGCAACCAGGTGTGAAAGAGGACTCCGTGAGGAATGAAGTTCCCCTCTTCTTAGCATGGCCTGATGAATGGCTGGCTCCACAAAAGGAGGCTAACACTTCCAGGGTCCCTTTGTGCACAGTGTCCATGACCAGGTTTGATACTGTCCTGACAGTAACTGTCTCCTCCAAGTGCCCCCATCTTTGAACCTATCACACAAACATGGGATGCCAGGGCAGCTGGTACCTCACTGATGTCCACTGACCCCCATCCCTTGAGATGGCATTTCACCACACCCAGGCCTCGAGTGCCTTCCCATGTTCCTAGAAATGATGTCATATCCATGGGAATAGATCTGGAACTCTACCTGATAGCTGATTCCCATCCTTTTCCCTGTCAAAACCCTGGCACAGCTTATTTATCTTCCACTGGGAACAAAGATTGCAGTGCTCCCAATTCAGTAAGGAGCAGAGTGCTCAGATCTGATTATGTGGTTTCTCCCATCTCCATTGAACTCCTTCCCTGGTAAGTGAACCCTGCCATGCAAGTCAGAGACCCAGAGTCCCAGGGGAGCTGTGCACCACAAATGGCCTCCAATACTGGAGTTGGGTGGAGTGGGCAGAATGAGTCCTGTCTTTCAGTGGCACCAGCCTGGAGCTCACACTTAGCAATCAACAGCTTGGGATTGAATGAGAGACACTGTTATCTTCCCCTGTGGGAAGAGAACCTGCGCCCATGAAGTGGAAGTATGGAGTCTGTGCTCTTGTACGAGGTTGGCTTGAATTAATTTTATGCACTAGGACAAGGAAGGGAGGGTGTATATCTTCACTGATGTTGTCAAGCTGTTCCCACTGCTAGCATCTTTTCTGGAGTATATGAGTATTAATCATCTGTGTTCCAATAGGACTATCTTCAGTCACAGTAGGACTTTAAAAGCAATTTCTACATTCTAATAGGAACTGGAGTCCTTGTAACTTTTCATACTCTCAAGCTGGAGGTGAAGTCCTGTCTGCCCTGTTTGTGTTGTGGTGGGAACTCCATGTTAGGTCTACCCTTGACACAAATCAAATGCACGTGCTGCTTGATAATCTTAGGTGCAGTGATGGGCAGCCAACCTCTAGAACCTAACCACCCTGCATAACAAGATGCTTCTTCTCTGGAAAGACAGCTCCTCCTACACCTCCAACCAACACCAGGCAACCATCAGTTTGCAATCTGCTGCTACATCTGGACTGTCTAAGAGTCTCAATGTAAGAGGGACTATTTGATGTTTGCTTGGCTATGCCTGCATCACTTCACTCAGCACAATGACCTCAAGGTTCATCCATGTAGGTGTATAGGAAATAATTTCCTCATAATTATTACAATGATACTGAAAAATACAATATCAGTGTGTTCAGAAACCAGTGTTTGAGATTAAATAAAAGCTTTTTGTGAAATAAGGATTCAGGCAGAAGTCCAAATACTGTTCTGACTGGGGTGAAGGCAAGGTATGTTTGTGAGAAAAGGAAGGATGCAGGTGCATGCCTAGTGGAGAGGAACTTCCATCATTGCAAACAAGCTAAGTTAGGCTTTATCTCTCCATGGTGGTGTGACTTCTAAAGATTGTCTGCAATTTTCAGTCCTGTAATCAGGATACTACTTCCCTGTTATCTGTGCAAATAGTTGTGTGAAATACAGTGTCGGGAACCTGTGTAAAGGTGGCTGCTGAGTCCAAGCCCTGCACAGGTTGGAGTAGGAAGACTTGCCAGGTGGTTTGTCTTGAATAAATGCCCACATGTTATTTTAACATGGTTCCTCTTCTTTCACCTCTCACAGTAAGAACCCTTCACATGTGATGTATCAACCACAAATCCCTGAGTATATGATACAGTGAGTCATTACAAGCTCAAGCTCTACAGTAGACCCCTACCTCAACTCAACCTCATAATGGGAACTTCAACCCAGGGAACACCTACTTCCCAAGTCCCTCCTTCTGTGCTGCAAGCACCATCCTGCTTTCAGTGTCAATGAGCTGCACTGACTGAAAGACCTCACCTCCATGGGGTGAAACAGTGTTAATCCTTCCTGATGACTTACTGCATATGGCCTGGCCCTGCAGCATCACCAACATTGTGTCAAATGGTAGAATTCCTTCTGTTTTGAGGCTGAGTAGTAATTTTGTGTTATGAGTATATTACACCATTCATTTATTCATCCTTGAGGGGCATTCAGGTGGTTCCCAACCTTGCCCACAGTGGGTTAAGTGGCAGTGGCAAGGGGCTCTCCCTTTCAGATGGCAATTGTATTCTATTAGAAGAGAGCACTTGGCCCTGGGTTGCAGATCATGCAGGGCTTCTGTTTTCATGCTATGGGGGAAATGCCACACTGTTTTCCAGGTGGCAGATCATTTGAGCAGATGTTAGTCCCAATGATTGTCTTAGGTTTAGTTTGCTTTCTGTTTCTTCTTTTTTGGAAAGTTTATAATGTGTTCATGACATGAGTTCTTTACTAATTATTCAATTTAAATGTATATTCTCCGATTGTGTGGTTTGTCTTTATATCACCCATCAGTGTTGTTATGGTATTGGTTACAATGGCACATGCCCAAGGCCCTGGTGCATGACATGCCTGTGTCATGTGTGAGTCCAGCAATCTGCAGACCATAGGGCACCTCAACAAATTCAAATATTTTAGTTCTGAGTTGATCTAGTTGTCTGACTGGGTGCAGGGCATGATGATGGACAAGCCCATCGGTGGCCTCAGAGCATAACAGTCCATGACCAGCAGGTGGGCCGGGACTCCCAATATTGCCAATATCCCCATTGACCACAACCCAGATTCAAACTCATTTATTCATACACAGTAAGATGCTATCACACACAGTCACACAATGCCATGCACCTACAAAAACACACAGTCTCACACTTGTTTTCTAAGAAGACTTGCATGCTCTCATGAGTTGTGATACAAAAATGTTCATGTCATTGCACAGCATTTCCTCTAAAATGTGTCAATGTGTTTTCCACTCATCAATGCTCAGTCCACCAATTGCCCAGGACAGATGGTTCTCTTGCTAAAATTGCTACAATATGTACTTAATAGATGACCTTAGCTACCATTCATTTTATGTTTACTTCCTACTGTAGCAATTATTATAAATAATTTTGTGCTTTAAATTGATGCAATACAGAGAATACATGAGTAGATCTATCAAAGAGAAGTATAATTATGAGCAATCATGTACTTCTGTCCCAATTATGTCAGGAGTCTATTCAAAACAGTCATAGCAAATCACCTATTAATCACTGGTAATAGAAGAGCAAACATCACCACCGATTTCTATATAACAATAGAAAAGTATAAATTCTTTATTTTCATAACCACAGTTCAGCATGGTGAACTTGCATTTTAATCTATATCTCTGTGGTTTCTTGTGATCTGTATAAAGTTAGGAAAGTGCACAATTAAAACAGTCATGTGAATAGGGAGGTAAGGTGGGAAGAAATGTCCAGGTCAAGTTTACTAGTGGGTAAAATGCGGGAGGACCATGTGCTCTGCCTGGTGACCCCACACGTCTCTCCCTCCCTGCTCCATTCTCTGTTTCTCCTAGCAAAACAGTGAAGATAAAGGAGAACAGGGACAGAAACCTGATCAGAGTGCACTGTAAATGCAGTGTGCTGGTGGTGTCTGAGTTGGGACTAAACAAATAGAGCATGGCCAGGACTCACAGACTAGATGTAATGGAAACATAAAAATTGTTAAATCTAGCTCTGACCGGTGTTACTCAGTGGGTTGTGCATAGTCCTTTAAACTGAATGATTGCCAGTTCGATTCCCAGTCAAGAAGCCTGCCTGGGTTGCAGGTCAGGTCCCCAGGAGCAGACGTGCGAGAGCCAACCAATCAATGTATCTCTCATACATTGATGTCTCTCTCCCTCTCTTTCTTTCGTCCTCTCTCCTAAAAAGTAAATAAATAAAATATTTTAATTGCAAAATCTATTTTTTTATATTTTGAAAATTTTAATTGGTGTAGAAAATACAAAACATAGTGTATTAGCAATATGAAGTATGAACTACAGTAATGTTAACTATATTCACATTGACATAGAATAGGTTGAAGAACTCTTTAATCTGGAAAATCAGACACTTTATTCACAAAAATTACCT